ATTATTGCTACAGCCATCCTGTACCTAATCATTAACGCTGCATTTTTACCTACTTATATCGTTAGCCTATACAGGACTTCCCTTACCGACCTACCAACCTGGTCCGTCTTTTTCAGGCATTTGCACACTGACGATCGGTCTTGACAATTCCTACTACGCAACCTACACCGCTCGCCTAAACGAAACTAAATGTGTTCTACTAATACATAAATGCATGACAGCGATGATAGTCACGCCTTCTCACACACCAAGAAATGGCCACTTTTCTCTTGGCATATCTCTCGATGACTTTTCTTGATCCTCGTCATTTTCAGTTCGCCCCGTCTTTTCGTCGTACAGGCCCGCCCCATACTCGGTTCAATTGCCTTGCCCAGTCATTGCTACTGGCCGGTTGTGCTCACTCCGACAGAACGGTCGCCTTAACTTTTCTCTCAAACCATTGCAGTTTACCAGCGACCGCACATCCCGTCTCCATCCTCTGTCGCCCCCTTTTTCCCAGTTGACCCATCCGGTTGCCTTCTTCTCATTTGTACCTCTCTTTGCCCCTTCGCACCTTTCACATACTTCTCCTACCTTTTCGTTAGCGAGAGAGCAAACAAAAGTTTTATGTATAAAAATATTTTTGTCAGAAACACTTTGTTACCCGTACTGGTGACAGGAAAGTTAAACCGGCTGGCCGGCATTGCTGGGTTGGAACTGCGGAAGCAATTGGCTTGGGCAATATATAATATTTCAACGCAAACGGGGACTGCACAACGAATTCGGTATTGACTCCTTCGCTGTGCTGGCATTTGCAGTCGACGCCTTTGCACACTGCCATACCTTTAGGAAAAATAACGAGCACTATGGGACGCTTGCGTACTGCCAACATTGCCGGTAACAAGACCTAAGCTGTGCTCCCGTATAAAGTGAAGGGGCAGGAGCGGACAAGCGGGTACGAAGCAAATGCGAGTTGGAAATTTGCCGTTAACGTCTTTGGAGGCTAAAGGAGCTCGCATGGAAAAGTTAGTCGACAGCCTCTCTCATGCAAAGGAAAGTTAAAGGGAAGAGTTGCGGAAGTTGACATTGCAATCTTTATAACTCATTTTTAGCAAAATGGATCGATGGAATGACGCAGTGATCAAAAACAACGCAGGGAGAGGAAGCATAGGATTATCGACAAAACGAGCCACCCTGAGCCCCGTGCAAACGTTCAGAAAAAAAAGCAAATATCGTATAGAATTACTCTATACTGACAGACGTAGTAAACCAGCGCCCGTCACAGAGGACGAAAAATGTACAAATACGTATGAAGTTATTTTTACGTCAAAAGTGGCCTGTTAAATATTTTCATATATACAAAGCATGAAATGCTGTTTCGTCGATGTTATGGTAGTTAGAAACGACAACATTTACTCAATAGGCCATATGTAATTTACTGTTTTTCGTTGAAAACCTTGAAATTTTATTAACGAAAGAGGCACACTCTTTCGATTCTCACACATTAGACAATCGCCTATGCTATGGAAATTACGCACGCGCAATTTTTCTCGACTGATGAAAACTTCTCCACCCAGCCGTTCATATATAATAGCTGTACAGGTTTCCCTTTTTTTTTTTTTTAACATTTTAAATATAAATATTAAATGTAGATGGAATTCAGCTTTCGCATTAGCTTTAATCAAATAAGACACCTGAAATTTTGAGGTGTTTCCTCCCCTTTGGCCCAAACAAAAACTTCATTTGTTTGCGTAAAAGAAAGAAAATCGAGCCCCCCTTGACTTCCTTCCCCCCGGCTATATCTCAATTCATTTTACCGCCACAACCCCCCCCCCCCCCCCCCAAAAAGGGTTCTCAGCGATACTGGACTGGTTTTAGAAGGGAAGTTTATTCATAGCAACTAATGGCTCGGGATTTATGATAGATTATTATTAAGCTACCGAATCGTCAATTCCATGTCGAAGACGACTTATACTCTACGACGTATAGCTTAAAAACGTAATTTCCTTTGTTTCTATATCTAGAAAAAAAAAGAACCTATTTCGACACTGTTGATTTTTATCGACATGTCTTTATATAAAAAGTATTTACCGAACACGAAAAAATGGTCTGCCCACGTTATCTATATTAATATATATTCTTCAGACGTTGCAACAAACACCTTGTGAGATCTTCTCCTTTGCTACCAAGTCTTCTAAGAATATGCATGCAAGTTATGTTTTAGTGTACTTATACAGCGTATGCCACATAGTTAATAATAGTTTGCTAGGCATAAAAGACTGCCTTTTAGATTAACTTAACACACACCGATAATGTGCAATAACTTTTCAGTCTTCAGAGAAAATCAGTTGAAGCGAAAAACGTCTAATTGCACAAAAAGAAGAAAAACGCCTGTAATAATTACTTAGATATTTTCACAAGTTATTTAATTACTATTATAGTTTTGTAAATGTATAGTACAACTTCAGCTTAGGTTTCTGAAGCTGGAAGTTTTAGTTGGAAGTTCTCGACACAGACTGCTACACATCCACTAACGGCCTGTTGCTTGCAATGGGACGAGAGTTATATGTGGCAAATCTGAATAGTGATATTTGTTCGATAGTAGACCAGATTAAAAATAACTACCACTGTGAACACAAGTTGGCAAAACAAACCCGAGTAGTCGAAGGTAGGTCAATCAATTATCGACGAGAGAACCTCCGACGACGATATCGACGTACGCCTGTCGTTTTGTCGATGGGTGTATGTGATTTGTTGGCGCCGACTGTTAGGCCTGTAGCACAGACAACACTCTGAAGCGAGTGCACCAGCCAGGCCTGAGCGAGAGGTTACCTCGACTGTCGACCGCGACCGATCATATTCTGCATGGAAAGTTAAAGGCTGAGACGTACTTTGATGATGACACCTGGTTGTACGTTTGGTAAGGATTGTCCTTGTTGAGAGGAGGGCCACATTCAGAGAGCACACAAAGGGTGACGAGGTGCATCGGTCCTACAGCAATCATTAAGGCTTAAGTAGTCGATCATTGGCTGGAAATTGGGTCACTTAGTGCAGCCTCCGTAACATTAGAACAGTCAACACCAGTCGCTGACTGCTATATAAGGCAATTTCTTGATCGAATCCTCAATGCCGGCTTCACCAGGGAATAATACGGAATTGAACCACCATCACGTTCCAATATGATGCACGAATTATAAACCTGTTTCTAAATATTTTACGATCTTCGCATTTGTAGACTGATTTGTGGAGGGACCGCGCCCCCAAGTCTATAAAGTATTGGTCGTGGGTAGAGATTTTCCTTTGTTTCCATGCATTTCTTGTTCCCAGATTATAACGTAGTAGTTAATACGAACATCGCATCACAGCTTGTTTGTGAAAATATATTTTAAAAAAAAAAAGTTAGCCTTAGATAAACTATTCAAGTTAACGTTTTGGTTTATTCCGAAGCTGCAACCCGTTCTTGTTGGAACTCTTTATTGTGATGTATATATATATATATATATATGTGTGAAATATAAGTAAATGCATCCGTAACGCTTCACATGCAATCGTACACTAACATTGTATGATATTGAAGATTGGCTTGCTTTTTGCTACAGTAGCTGATGCACTTGGCGTTTCAAAAAATCCGCCTAAAATATTGCTTGTTCATGAATTACCGTTATGAAATATATATGGCACATAGGGGCTGGGCTGCTTGACCTGCTGCAATAATTTCGAACAAGACTCTGAATAAGATAAAGGCACAGATCTAGCTCGTACCTGCTGAATGTTTTAGGACCCCCTACGTTCTCATACTGGGAAGATTACATGTACGGAATATTCGTTCACGTAAATAAGAAACACCCTGAAAGAAATCCACCTTCTACTTATTATATAATGAAAAATTACAATTTAATAGACGTCTGGCAGATGCATCTGTCTTAGACAGGATTAAGTATATATGCAAATGAATAACCTCTATGAATGACCGCTAGCTATTCAGCGATGTAACCGTAAACATGACCGACCAGCGCTATCCATATAAAATAATCGTTTATAGCCATATCACATGTTCTGCGGCTAAAATGGTTGCCATTTTATGACAACTACCTACAACCCTTTTTGATCACCCCACTCTGGCATCTGCCCTTGAGTAGATTACTCGTCAGAAAAGTAATGCGGATCAACTACAATGATCGCAAAGGCGCACTCGATGGTTCAAAACCTACATAAACTCAGTCTAGGCTTTTCAAGTTAGTCCCCGATTAAAAACAAACGACCTATACCAGCCTCTCAATGAATTCGAAGGGTAGCAACAAGAATTCGACTATGCTTGCGTTTTCTTTCATTGTAGCGCTACGTATTAACGGTAGATGGGGGATCTGAAATTTGCCTTATGCGCCGGTATCAGGGCTCTGCATTGCTGCCCACTCAGGCCAAGACCACACAAGCGCGCGGAAAGCCCATCGTTCGAATGGTGACCGCATATCTCTTCCCTTCTATAGTCGACAGAGAAAAGTATTCTCCCGGGAAGCCACTAAGTGCGATTTAATTCGATATTGGCCTCTGTGCTCTGCTTTTCCTGGGCCTGCTGTCTATTTCACTTTTCCCTAGACCTATGACACCCCTCGCTGGCAAACTACCTCAATTCCATCGCCGAGTCCACTATCCATCGCGGCTCTGGTGTCGACTGCATGACCGCGCAGTGCGCGAAATTCCCCTCACTTTTTAAGTTCGCTTGTCTGCCGCTGCCGCTGCTACTGCGCGGCCTTTGTACAGGCCGAAGAAGGCAAGACAGGAGAAAAAGGAAACGAAACGATTTGAAGCGATGTGATCTCCGTAGCGAGCCATATCAGATCGCTCAGGGAAGGCCTATCCGAACAGAGAGGGGTCGGAGGGAGAAAAGACAGTATGTAGCAGCCAGTATCTGATATCCATCCATTGACTGGATCCCAAATCGAATCATCATTCGATTCATTCATTCGTCTAAGGAGGAGGAGGAAAAGTCAGAGGCAGACCCCCGTATAGTTTGACTTGCACTCTATTCGACCACTCCGTACACCCTGAAATCCGCCCCCGCTCAGCTGATCCGGCGCGAGCGTATCCAGTGGTTGCTTGAAAACGGGCATTTCATGAAAACACCATGCCAGCAACAATTTTATTTGGATTTAGTTGGAGTATTTGTTTGGATACAGTATAAACATAGCCTGTCTAAAAATGGGTGACGATGTAGCCTATCGCAACGACAACGAGCCGTATCTTACGGAAATAAGTTATGGACGCGCACAACTTCATAACGTATAGCTAAATAATCATTTCGGACGTTTTTGAACTTGTTATATGTACGTGTGTTTATACCGGTATGTTGCCATGGGATAGCAGGCACAGATAAGAACCATTTCGATGTTCCGCCTGATTGAAAGTTTACCGATAAGGACTAGGGGGGGTAACTTATTTTTATTTAATAGAACAGATTTATAAGGTATGGTTTGTGTATGTGATCGTTGAGTCTTCGGTTTGTTATACACATCAATGCTAAGTTTCTATTGCGCAAACTGCCGCGATGCTTCGATGTTCCAATGCAAAACTCTTAGACGATTTTTTTTTTAGCTGTCTTAACATTTGCAATGGCTGACTAGAACCGTTGTTTTTTAATTTAAATGTAAATATATATACTAAAATATCTTATAATAACTGAAAACGTTATCACCAACACAGAATATGAGCCCTGGCCAATTATCAATTCAGTAACGGGTTACTATTAATAGCAAATACATTACTGTCTAAACACAGAAGGAACAAATTAGCATCACAATCTTTTATATTTAAATGCTTTTCATTCATCATTAGAACAGCAAAATGAATTGTTATTTCTAAGGGGTTTAAAGCGTACGTAAATTCAGCGAAAACGCCCGAAGGGTGTATATCTTTTAGGGCGCTAAGAGGGGCGAGATCGAAAGCAATCTCGTTCCTCAAGAAAGTTCGGATTGATCATTTAAGGCACCGATGTAGCGTCTCGTGGCAGTTTGTCGTTAATTTATCAGTTCATGCAGTGTTACCTTCTGTTCTTCCCAGTACGGTAAGCTTCGCTTTCCCATTGAAATACCCGTCTAGCGTTGACAGCAGTGACCTCTAAGGCCGAGAGCGGACAAAGGTGTGACTTTAAGAACCGTTACTTGGTATCTTCTTCTACAACGATCATTGCGGGATGGGGATCTATGTCTCTGCAAACT